AAAATATTTTATTATGCTTGGCACATTGCAGGAGGTGGGATTCTTTTGCCGCTCAGCAGGAGAACTTCAGCAACCTTCCGGCCTCAGTTTACAAAGGTAAATGCCACCCTTATCTCTGGGTGGAGGCTTTTGGTGGTTCTATCTTTCAAATAAGGTCGCTGTGGCTTAGAACAGATACTACAAGGTCTGATGGGAGGACACCCGACTAGGGGAACCCACCTGCTTGTCCAGTGCCCGGGTCTGCTCCTGCAGCGCCTCTATTTCCGCCTGCACCTGAGCCCTGCACTTGAGTAGACGGTCCATGTCCTCCAAACGCTGGCTGTCTTTCAATCGCTTGACCTGGCTCTGCGCCACACTGATCTGCATCTGGAGCTTGGCTCGCAACACCTCCAGCTGCCGAATCTCCTCCCTGTCCGAGAGGAGCAGGGAGGAGGAGGTCTCCACCAGCAAGCCAGCAACGCTCAACAAGGACTAGCTCTTGCCCGCTGGCCCTCACTAAGCCCCAACCCCCTCCCTCCCTGTGTTTCTCTCAACCCCTTCCCTCCTCTGATTCCTCCCCCTGCTCCTCCTCCTCTACCTTGTCCCTTCCCCAGCACCTGTACCTCCTCCGGTTCCTACCCCCTCTATCCTGTCCCTCTCACTACCACTCTTCTGCCCCTGCTCCTCTCCCACCCCTGTACTTCCCGACCCCTCTTCCCTCCTTCCCTCCTCCTAGGGCTCAGAAGTCCCTTTCCGCTCTTCTTGCCAGCTCACAGTTGCTTGCTGATGCGCTGGTGAACCTCCTTGCTGTATGTCCGTCGTTCCAACTCCATCACCTTGCATTGTCTTTGCAGGCGGTTGAGCTCCCATTCCACTATGGGCGAGACCAGGAAAAGGACTCAAAGTGGATCATGACTGCCAGTCATCCCCAGAACCGAGGAATCCTGCTCCCTTTGGGGTCCTGCAAAATGCAATTGTACTGCAGCCCCTGCTCTGGCATCATTTGGGACTCCATCTCAGTCCCTGTGTCTCCCAGCCAAAAGGATCCCCGTTTTTTCCTAACCCATTCTGACTGGAGGATGTTCTTGGGAGGCCGCCTGGTCTCTGGCACCTGTGGCTAGAGAAAGTGGCACTCCCTCTTGTGCTTCAGTGGGTGGCCTCTCTCCTGACTGCTCCTCCCTCTATCCGCTTGTCCTCGGGGCTCATGCTTCATCTCTTCCCGCCGAATCTTCACCCAGTCTCCACTCATCTCCCTACAAAATTCCTAAGGACTTCCCACACCAGAATGAGCCCTTCCTTCTTAAGACACCTCAGCCTAGGCATCCAAGTCCCAAGGAGCCTGCCCTACTCATCCCTTCAATCTTTCCAATCAGTTTCCCAACTTCCTCGCCCCTCAACTGAGAATTGACCCAAACCAGCGTCCATAAGGCTGAGAAACCCTACGCTCCTACCCTAGGCTGTTCTCTTCTCGGCGGC